ATTAATTAGATAATAATTAAACTCTTAAAAACAAAGCATCTTAAACTCCTTTTGAACTCCTCATCCTTAAACTAAAAAAAAGTAATGCTGCTAGCAAATTAAATAAATTAACGGCAAAAACAACAACAATTAGCTTTAATTTTATTTAGAAAAATCGAATTAGAACAATTAGCAATTTCGATATTCGCCATTAGAATCAAAAACAAATTAGTTATTATACTACCCATTAAATAAATTAGTTAACAAAATTTAGAAAATTTTATCAAAAATCGAATTTTTAGAAAGCTAACAAAAATTATATGGCAAAAAAATTAGTACATCTTTTTTGTTTGTTTAGATATTAGATATTCAGAAAATCGATCAAATAATCACAATAACCGACGATTGGTATTTGTGTTATGTTCCCTCCTCTCTATATATATTTTTTGTTTTTGGTTATAGAACATATATATCTTATATATACTCGTATGTGTGTATAACTATACCCGATAACTATTTATTAATTTCTTCTTAATTAATTTTCTTATTATGAAACCTTAAAACAAAAACAACTACCTACCTAATTAATTAATTAACTAACCGATCTTACAACACACTCAATATCTCAATGTTTGATGTAAATAATTTATATATTCATTTATAAATTATTTATCGTATTAATTTTAACAAACGAACAAAAGATTTGTAATCTTTTGACTGTTTGCCTTCGTGTGCAATTCAACTTTTACAAAAAGCGAGATAAACAAACCGATGGTGTTAACTTTTTTTTAAAAAAAATCGGTTGTACATAAATGATACAGTGTTTTGGGTATACCGAGATATATGGGTATAATAAAGGTAGGAATATTTATCATAAAAATGGGTTAATTGTATTTCCGAACGTTTTACCCCTTTTATAGCATTCCCTTGACACTGGCTTCAGCCAGTTTCCACTAAAAATTATTCGTCATTTTTGAGTGTTTTCAATCAACTAATATTTTTATTAGGTGTCAAATCTTCTTACCACAACTATCAATACGGGTCGAAATTGTTGGTGTCCGATCCATTTTAATAAAAGGAACAAAAAAAGTTTCAGTCGCTGTTGTCGACAGATAGATTGCACACAGTTCTTATTATTCGTTTTATCTAAGGTGTATGTTTTTATCAAAGAGGTTTCGGATTTAATGTGGATCAAATGTTTATATGAAACTTTTTTTGGGGGAGGAACCAGAGGAGAGGGCAGACGGGTCCCACTTTCGTAATTGATTTAGGCTTGGTAAACATTGTAGATTGCGCAAAGGTTTGTTCAAATCGGATGGACATGACCAATGGGTCCGATCTTTGGACTTCATCTCCGCTTGGTAAAAGTAATAGGCTGCAAAATTTTTTTTTTAAATCGGATAGTCCGTTCGCATTATATTATAAAATATTTTTTTTTGCACAATTTGACCATTCCATTTTGGGTGGGAGGTACCTGAAGGAGTGGACAAATTGGACATTTTGTTCACCTAATATTGGATTTATAAATATTGAAAAGGTTTACCATTTGTGGGGGAGGTACCGGTGGGAGTGGATCAATAGGTCTCATCTTTGGACTTGATTTAGGCTTGGTAAAGACAATAGGTTGTGCAAAGTTTGGTTCAAATCGGTCATTCCATTCTACTAATATTGAATTTATAAATATTGAAAATGTTGACCACTTGTGGACAGGTACCAGAAGAAGTGGACAAATGAGTCCCATCTACGGACCAGGTGTAGACTTGGAAAAAATAATATGTCCTGCAAAGTATGGTTAAAATCTATTGTCCCAATTTCCGATGTAGCATCCCTTAAAAATCCAAAAAAAAAAATATATATATATATATATATATATATATATATGATTGGTCCAACCAAATTGGTTATAATGCGATAGTTTGTATTCTCAGAGTGTGACAAATATTCTAACAAAAAATAATTAAGAATATCGGGCCATGTTTCGGGGTAGCCGCAATATAACGGTACCGTCCATTTTTTTGCAATTTGTCTCCTGGAGCAATCTGGGATTTTCTCTATTACAAAAATATACTTGTTATAAGAACAAGGATAATTTCCCCCTGGTAACCTCAAAACCCCATGTGTACGCCATCGTTTAACGGTCAAACTTATTTCAAGTTCAAGCTCCTTCATATTTTGCTGGTTCTAGGAACATTTTCCAACTAAACATAACTGTTTTAGTATTTCTTCACACAAAATGTGCAATATAATGACATGTTTAAACTTGCAATCCATATAAAGGTCACTTGACATTTTCGGAATGTGCAGTGTTAGGTTTTTGTCCTGACTTCATGGCATAGCCTCTCTGTAGTCCCATTCGATTTTAGTTACTTGAATGTCCACAAAAAGTTCAGAATTTAACGACGTTTTTCTGTAAAACTATGAAATTCTGTGGGATCTTGATTTTTCAAGTCTCTGTAAACAACATATGACTCCAATCAGCGTTTAAATGTCACCTATGTCACCTATAGTGGCCCTCGTAAACATGCAATTTCTGAAACAGTTGTAAAAATGTCGTGGAAATATTACCCATAATAATTTCAAAAATATTAATGAAAGACCATAAAACACGCATTGCATCGCTTGTCTTAAAAATGTACGATAATGCCTCAAACAAATGCCAACAAATGGTCGGAAGAGTATTCATTCAAACCCAGGATAAGAAATTGAATTATGCACATGAACCAGTGAGTGGAGTGGACGGGGCCGACCATATGATACCCTACACAACTTCCACGAAAATATAATTTTATGTGGTTCTATATTCTGAGCTTGGGCAATTTAAACCATGCTCTTGACCGTCTAGAGGTCAACAACTATTGCAAATATTCAGTACAGCCCTTACTTACTTGTCCAGATTCCCTTCGCCGTGGGTTGTGTTGTGATCGAATCGAAAAAAACACAAAAATTAAGTTTTCGGTCCACTTCATCCCAATGTAATTATCTGATCACCACCGAAAATTATAGGCGTTGCCCTAGACCATATCTGGATCCTCATGGAAAATTTCAAAGCTATCAGCGCTATATTTCCGCCCTCTAGTGTGGTTATGGGTTACTACGTAATATATGAATGCATAAGCACCATAAGCACAAATATTTACGTGTAGCTCCCACATCCGAGTACATACGACAAAATAATTGGTATCAATTTAAAGGCCAACCACTCATCTTGCATATACTATCAACTTTTCGAGTCTATGTCCTTCAGGAGTAAATATATATGCTATAAAATACAACATTTGTAATTTTTCACACAAAAGTCAGGTTTCATTTGACCCGCTAAATATTGACCAATCTTTATCAAAAAAGGCATACTTATTCTTTGGCCCGATCCCCATCTCCATGTAAAATTTCGCGATGTTCGGGCCATAATTGCGGCCCGAATATTCATCCCCTAAATATGCGCCGATCTTTACCAAAACAATAGGGCTCTTCATTGGCCATAACCTATCCTACATGCAAAATTTCGTGAAGATTGGTCCATAACTGTGGCCTTTATCGTGTTTACAAATTATAATGGACAGACGGACGGACGGACTGACACACATGTCTAGATCGACTCAGCTAGCCGAGATATGACGATCGGCATACTTAAAGGTGGGTCTAGGACCAATATTTCGCTGCACAAAGCTATAATACCCTGACAGGGTATACAAATTACAAAATTGTGGAGAAGGGTATACAAAGGATTCATAAAGACTTTTTATACATTACATTATAAAAAAAACATACTAAAAATTAAAAAAAAAAAAAAACATTTTTCAAATTTCTACACAAAAAGGTTCTTATACTTCCCTCAAAATATAGTTATGTTATACCCAACATACCCTATAACCTATAAGGGTTAATGATAGCTTCATAAAGGTAAACTAATAATAAAATACCATACCATACCATGATCGAAACCGCTTAAAATTATATTTGAAATATTAGCATTTCATATTTACAATTTCTATAAAAATTTCTCCATTCTTCAAAACCTTTTTCCTTTTTCAAAATCTAACTATTAGGTATTTTTAGGATTAAAAACACTGTATCATTCATGAAAAAAAGCTTTTTGATTAAAAGTATATCTTAATTATTATAAATATTTTTTAGTATTTAAAAAAATGAAAAAGAAACCAAAAAAAATTTTAAACACAAACTAAGAAAGAATGCTCACAATATTCGATAGAAAAACGAGAAGAAAGAAAATCAATACAGCAACAACAAGAAAATCTATAACATTATTAAACAATTAAGCGCCTAAATAATATAAAACGAAAAACAATAACATATACCAACCAAAAAACACAAATTCTCAAAAGCTGTCATTCGAAAAATACAATCAGTCAGTCTTAACATGCGATTCTGCTTCTAAAAAACTATAAAAAATATCACCAAGGAAACAAAAACTCACAACGCTTCTTTCTACTTGCTTAAAAAAAAAAAAAAACGTAGTGACGATTTTGTAACATTTACTATTTCTTTACGCCTAATTTGTGTAAAGAGAAAACTTGTCATGCAAAATACACCTATAACAATACAACAACAAAAAACATAAAAAGCTTCCTTCACAAAATTACCCCGATCCAAAAAACTGCAATAACAATACCAAGCATTTAATCATTTTTACTCACAATTACATACAACATACATGCCTACTCTCATTAGCTTTTAGTAGTTGTAGCATTGTATTTTATACATTTTTATATTTTTTAAGTTAAGTTATTTAAATTTTTTAAGTTATTTAAATTTTAATTTTTTTCGTTAATTTTTTATTTTGTTAAAAATTATTTTTTTATACCAACAAATATTTTTATTAAAAAATATATATAAATCAACAATTTACTTCAAAATAATAAAACCACCACCACCACTACCACCAAACAACCAACCAATCAATCAACCACACAAATCAAAAATTTCATCATCCTTGAAATTTATCCCAACCCAACCAACCAACAACCATCGTCGTCGTGTGTTGTGTTCTTGAATCACCTCAGGGGTTCGTATTTTAAATTCGAAGAAGGAGAACTACTGCCAAGACAAGAGGCTCGAATTTGGAAGCCGCAAAGTTTTCACTACGACAATGTTGCTGCGGCGATGTTAACACTATTCGCAGTACAAACCGGCGAAGGATGGCCACAGTAAGCTAAACGTTTTTCCTTCCTATTCTAGCATTTATTTAGTGATAAGTTATTTTTTGTAAATAACACAAACGAAAAGTTTATTGTTAAGTTTTTTTCTAACACCAAACCTAGAGTTAATATATTTAAGAAAATTATACGAATTTTATTTGTTTTTTAACCAAACAATCCAAAATATTTAAACCAATTATTCTAATCACCATTATTTAAATACTTGTGTTATTATTATTACAAATCAATAATTTAGAGTACTGCAACACTCCATGGCTGCCACTTACGAAGATAGGGGTCCAATACAAAATTTCCGGATTGAAATGTCCATATTTTATATCGTTTATTTTATCGTATTTCCATTCTTCTTTGTAAACATATTCGTGGCCTTGATTATCATTACATTCCAAGAGCAAGGCGAAGCTGAATTACAAGATGGTGAAATTGATAAGAATCAGGTGAGATTAAAACGCCACAATCTGCGGCTAATATTTCTTTTTCGTAAACAAAATTTAATTCGTACTAACTCGAAAACAATAATAACAACAACAACCAAACTAACAATAAATATAATCTGCTAAAAAAATTGGCTTGCTTAAATTTAACTTAAAACTAAAAAAAAAAACTATTTGATAGATGTGTACATTTTTGTTTATATGTTTGTCTGTGTGTAAAAACTAATAAAAACAACAACAAAAAATGCTAAAATCTATTAGAATTAGTTCAAAATTATTTGCTAAAAAAACAACAGCTTCAAAAATATTAATCTACGCAAAAAAATAAACTCTTAATGGTCTATGTGCTAAGTGAAATGTTTTGAAATCTAGTTTATAGAAAATTTAATCATTTATCAGCTAGAAACATATATACATTAATCATTATGCACATTAACTCCACATATATGTATTATAAAATTATAAATATTTAAATTAATTATTTCATTATCATATGTAATCGTCATACACCTTCTTCTCCTCTTACACAGTAGCTTATATATTATTGCAATATGTGTATTGTCCGAACACATCAAAAGTGAAATGAATTTTAAAACCTAAATATGCAGCCCGATCATATTTTGTTTGGATGGAATTTCCACGTTTCAGAGTTTACGGAATACCTACATTTCGCTTTGCGAATATATGTTCCATGCGGATAATTTGTTCTTGATGTAAGAAAGGGGAAATACGAGATATTCTATGGATTTATTATTCGTGATTTGGTTAATAGATGATAAAAATAAGATATATAAGGCGAAGTGTATATTAAATTTGTCCTCCACTCGCGCATTGCAATTTTGCATATACATTGATATTAGACCGTTTTTTAATATCGTGCATTTTGGGTATTTTTGGTACATTTTCCACCGAATTGGCCGTTATTTGGTATGTTTAACTCCCAATGGGAAGCAAATTTTCCTACCATAAATGATCAATATTAGACTATTTTTTAGGATAGCCGCCATAAACAGTATTTTGAATGACTTACGCTTATTTCCCAACAAAATAAGTCTTAGAGGCTGGCAGATGCAGAAAATTGTCAATTTAGGTCATGGTTTGGAGATAACCCCCCATATAAAAGTATACGTTTTTTTTAATATTTCACGTTTTATGGTTTTAAATTATAAAAAACTAAACTCTCTCCACACTACAAATCGAATACTTAATTTATGCAATCCAAGCGGAAGCTGTGCTGGATTCGTATTCCAGTTGGGTGGGAGGATACTATTGGTAGCGGGCCAATCTGTGGGTAAGGGATTCAAACAAAATCAAACGGAATTTCCCATCCTTATCCTTTCCGTTACGTTTCAAATGCTTGCGGATGGCAACAGGCTTCTTGATGCTGTGATACACATATTCTAGTATATCGGCTTTAATGCCGACAGATTTCATTATGCGCAAAATCTTTCTATCATTGACAAACCCGACTTGAGCGAAATCATTGGAATCCTGAAGAAACCATTCTTGCCCTTGATTAGCGTTAATTTTCAACCACAAGGGAGCGGTTCTTCTGTAGGGTAAAACTGATTGGGAAATACCCTTGCCAGGAGCGTGCATACGACCCATCCTCTCAGATGTTTATTTCACACAGCATTGCCCCTTTAAATTGAGTGTAATTTGGTATTGCGGGTTCTTGTTGGGTAAAACTTATTTAACAGAAAGGCTGCGTCACATTTGCTTACTTTTTAAGACTTTGGAAACATTTTCCCACCGAAGTTGCTGTAATTTAAAAAATACATTTGTTGCATAATTTGATATGGCTCCCATATAAAGTCGTGATCCATTTGCGATATTCTGAAGTGGCTGTATGAAGTTCTTTCCAGAAAATCTTTACTAAAGATTATTGATTTTTACATCGCTCCCATACAAAGCCCCGCTTAATTCTCAGTTTGTTGATCTATCTGCTTTAAGTTACAAAGACTACTATACAATTCTGGCCCTACAATGAAAATACGAATATTTATCGTTTCAAATGGTTTTATTTCAAAGAAGTTGAAACTAATTCTTAAGAAAATTTTTCTTGATGTTTGGCGGATGACCTCTCCATTCCACGTTTTGGCCGATAAAGAAGGTGCTGGTTTGAATCTATATGTAAGAGATCGCTTTGTTGTGAAGCATAATAATTAGTTTTCTCTTCTTCGTTTTTCGAATATCTTCGAAGATTTATGTCAATCAAATGGTGGTGAACTGCTCGTCTCCGAGGGCCCCCTTTTGTTTCGGGCTCATACACATAAATCTGTTCTCCATCGCCTGTGAACCCGCATATACCCTCGGCGAATATATTTTTTGTATGATCCCATAGTTTATGAAAATTGCGCTACGTTTTATTTTTTCTATTGTTATTTTTGAGATGCCAGGTGTACAATTGAATGAGGAATGTTTTTGGGGGAATGTTCGTCTTGTGACTGCAACAGGATTCATACCAATTGCTCGAAATTTTGCACGTAGAACCGGTTTTGACCAAAGTAGACATATATTGCTTCTGATAATTATCGGTTAATATTTAAGGGGTGAAATGGACCAACTATTTTATTTTTATCAGTTTTTCTGGTCTATTTAGAGGCTAAAATTTTTACACGCAGAAGGGTATATGACTAAGGATCTCTTACAATATTTGCATAATATGGCGCAATTTTTTCAATCCCGAAGGACATAAAACCGCAGAAGTTTGCAATATATTCAACCGGAGTGATTGACCTTTAAATGTATACTAATTATAGTGATGTATCTACTCGATTGTGGGTTATACTTAAATATTTACATGTGTCTACGTATTCTGATATTATTTAGTAACTTACTACCACATTAGAGGGCGCAAAAGTACCGCTATGGAGTTTTACATGAAGTTCTGATTTGGGTTAAGGGCGACAACTATTGTTTTCGATATTGATCAGATGATATATAGGCGATAAAATAAACCGAAAATATATATTTTTATGAAATTTTCATATCTGTCCAAGGGATAAATTTATAAGCAGAAGATCACAAATTTTCACAGGGAAGGGTATCTGATCTACTTTTGAAAATTGCTGTTTTGATAATGATCATTATCAATTCCGGGTACTGGGTACCTTGCCAATGGAAATATTAGATTGTGACAGAAAATACCAGAAATATAATCTTTGTATTCCTAAAGGTTTACGTTGTGTGTATCGTGAAGTGCATATATCAACGGCTTTTTCACTTGTGGATGAAATACCCCTTTCTCCATATGACTCATTTCCCATATTTTCACGTAAAATGTTTTGTTTGATAAAGCATGGACTTCGTTCCGTCATTAACATTCTCATTTTTTAACTTATATCTCATCCTTTTTCCCTAGCAACCTCTCAAAGGAGGTGTTAGCTGTCTGATAGTTTACGCCTTCACCATTTTCTAGCTCTTCACGTTGTTTCATATAAACATTTTATAGCCGAAGCGACAGTAAAACATTTTAAAATTGTCGAGGTCTAATTGGTTGGGAGTTGCAACATAAAAAAATTTTACAACTCTGTGAGTTTCTAATGAATAGCTTCACGAAAACTGCAGGAGGGATTATTCATCTTTGCTCCCGACGACTTTGTAGCCAGATTTAATGATGCACCACGCAATTGCAGTCATATAACCGAGCTTGCATACTTCTTTAGGACGTTTCCAATGCAATGATTGGGAATTGATTTCAACATTATCATTAGTTATGTCCTTTTTGAGGTAACCTGGATCAATGTTCATCAACGACGGTATTTCAAATATCCTTGACGTTTAATTAAATTTTTACACAAAACTGAATCCAGTTTTTTCGATCAATTCTTTGGAAAAGTAAAATATCAGGTCTAACAATAAAAAAACGAAATTTTGAAATTAACGGTTCAGATCTCGTATATTCTATACAAACTCATAATCTTGTCGTAAGGCAGATAAACATATGTGTTAAAATCAGACTAATTGTGATTTTGAAAATTAACCCTGTTCACTAATATTTATTATCAATATATTTTTTGGTACAAAACATCTGAACATTTTCAGGAAATAATAATTTTTTAGAACAACGAAGGGTCAATTTTTCATTAAGTTTCAAGTATTAGGTGACAAAACTAGATATCTTTACAATTACTTATGAATTATAATAGTTAAATTAACTATAAAACATTTCACTTAGCATTATAACGCCATTTGCATAATAATACTACGAAAACAACATTTCTACTTTGCTAGCAAAATTTTTTAGTAAAAAAAAAAAACGAGATCATTGTGCATAGTTTTAGTCTCTCATCAAAAAACCAAAAAAAACGTAGTTGATTTTATATAATTTATTTTTATTGTATATAAAAAAATGAAAAAAAAAATCTTCTAGATAACCTAGATGCTAGTCCTTAACGGCCGACTCTTCTTTCATTCATAGTTTTTTAATTTCTTTTAAGTCATCTTTTTTATAATTAATAATTTTCTTTATTATTTTTTTGTAATGTGTATAAATGTTGAACATTTTCCGGAAGTTGATAAAAAAGTTTTTAATTACAATTATTAACTTTCACAATGACAAAGCATGATTTTATGCAAAACAATTTATTTGCTCAATATTCAAATTGAGTAAATGAAATGTTTTGCAATAAAATTTGCAAATGAACTTAAATTTTTTTTCTATAAACAATTTACAAAACTAATATGTGTATGTGTCTGTATGCTATTAACAAGGTTTGTATGAAGCTTTTAGATGAAGAAAAAAACACAAGAAATGAGAAAAATTAGCTGCATAAGATTTTTGTTCAATTTTTTTTAATGCTATATATAATTATATTAATTGCTAATTAGATAGCTGGAAATGAAATGCAATTTAGTTTTAATTTAAACGGCACAAAAATAATATTTAATTTATAGTATGTTTTTTTTTTTTTTTTTGAACGAAATCAGATGTTAATTTATTTAAAAAAATAATATAATTTATCTTAAGAAAATCGGGAAACCGAACGGTAATAGTTTAAAAAAATAAAAACAAATATTTTCAAAATGAATATTAAAACAATAAATTAATAAAAAATATGCTGATAAAAATATTACAGGCCATTTAAAAAAAGAAAAATTCATTTCCGCTTATTTAAATTAATTAATTTAATATTAATTCAGAAATAAAATAAATTAATCTAAATTGAAAATAATATTCAAATATTTCTCTGTGGGTTATTTAACATCTGATTTCATTGTTCTCTTTAAATTATTGTATTTTATTTATTACAATTACAATTAGAAAAAAGATTTTAATTGCCAAAAAATTACCATTCACATGCTTCTATTTTAACACAAAAATTATCAAATTTTAATTTAATATGATTTTCTATTTTCATTTATTTGTTTTTTTTTTACAAAGCTCAAACTAATTAATTAACCTAGTTTATAGATAATTTAAAATATAAGTGTGGAACGTCTGTAAAATCAAATATCTGCTGTAAACAAATCTTGGCAATGTCTTCTAAACTCTTATCTGTAATAAGTTAACATCAACAACTACAACAACATCAACAAACTAAACCAACAACTAATATAAAATTAAATTACTATTTACCCATTAATTAATTGTGATTATATTACGAAACTCTTTTTACAGAAATCATGTATAGACTTTACAATAGGAGCGCGACCATTAGAACGTTACATGCCCAAAAATCGTAATACATTTAAATATAAAGTATGGCGTATTGTCGTATCGACACCATTCGAATACTTTATAATGATGCTAATTGTGTTCAATACTTTATTGCTGATGATGAAGGTAAGTTCATGTGAACCTAAAAATATTTCCTGCTCCCCAAAAAACACTCGACATTTTTTCATAACATATATCATAGTATCATATAAAAAGATCATGTATTTTGGATTTAGAAACATAAATGCATTTTTTATTGTCATCATCTCCGATATCCGTTAGTAGATGTTGTGATTTGTTATTTATTTTTTTGTTATTTTTTTATAAAAGTGGTAGTTTTATTAGGTGTATTTTATTCGAAATAATCTAAAAATCAAGCAACCAAGGGTTCACATACTGAACCCTAAGATTTATATTTTTTTACGTCGTAGAAATGTGTCTTTTTCCATAATTTGTAAATTATTTGTATATGTTGTTTATATTAACCAAAAAATTGTATAAAATCATTTAACTTTGCATGGACTACAACAAACATAACCATTTATTTGACTAACACTTTTATTTTGTTTAAAAATTTTGTTTTTTTTCTAAATGTAAATTATTCATTAGTATATATGTTAAAGCTAAATCAGTTAACATCTGTCTAGCAAAAATAAGTATAAGTAAAATTTGGACGCAATTTCATATTTCACAGAGAAAAAAAAAAATAAAAAACGGGATTTTGATTCCAATTTTCATACCTGACTAGAATTGAACATGACATATTTGATTTATTGTGTTGAAACAGCCTTAAGGGTATTGAGTGTACAATACGATCAAAATGATCCTCTTGGTAATATCGATTTTAGACTCCATGTGTCTTTGACCACATGAGTTTAAGAAAATTTGGAATCGATTTAAAAATATGCGTCTGGCTTATCAAATTAAATGAAAGCTTAAGGGGACCCCCCATTCTCGGGGTCAAAATTTTTGTTGATATAATTCGAATCTACACTGATTAAAGAATGTCTCTACAAAATTTCAAGTGAAAATCTCAAGAACTCTTGAAGATATAGCCGATTTATTGTGTCAGCATCAAGTGACGGCTGAAGGGCTTCTCAAACTTTAAACGCGTTTTTCTCTAAACATTTTTTTTGCGAATGGCGGGCACGAGAACTCAAAAACTAATAATCCAATCGGTTCCAAATTTTGCAACGTTTCTCTGGGAGTGTATAGCTCTCGTATGAACTAGGATAAAGCCAATCGGTGAAGATCTTCCTGATTTTTTAACTTGGTTTTTGGTAAAAAATCGGCGATTTTCCAAAAATATTTTTTCAAAGGTCCACCATTTTCTTAATTTTAGAGCGAATATCGATGCACTTATTCTAGTACCTACATCACATAATTTATTATATCGTGAGAACGGATTATCCGAATTGACCTCAGTTTTACACCTGGTAATATTTTACTAAAACCTGTTAACTGCTGAAGATGGGACCCATCGGTCCACCTCCCAGAACTGATTTGATCGCACCCTTGTCCTACTTAAGGTTTTATCAAACTTACGATACATCGGTCAATTCCAACTAGCCCCTCATCACAATGGGTAAAATAATAAATCTCATATTTAGGCAATTAATTCAAGTTTTTCAAACCTAGAGCAAGTCCAATGATGGGGCAGCTTAGTACACATCTTTTGGTACCTCACCTACAAATTATTTACACAATTATCATATATGATGTCTAATTAAAAAAGAATCGTTGGATTCAGATGAAATGGCTTTGCCCATAGGTCACATAATTTCATAATTTCCTATTTACCTTACGACCTTGAGTCACCTTCATAAGTCACCACGCCATTGCAGTTGAAGAAAACATTGAACAAATCTTCACATTTGACCCTTGTCTATTTTTGACGGCCTTGTCTATTCTGGCCGTTTCCGCTGGGATGATTGAGCATTCATTCCAATGTCATAGCCATACACCAATCTTGTTTCTAAGCGATATTCATGGAACTTAATTTATGATTAAAATATAATATATAATTTTGAAAAAAAAAAATATCCGTAAAAATAGCTTGGCATGTGCCGAATGATATGCCAATTTCATCAGCTACCTCTCTAATTGTGATTCGATTAACAAAACCACCAAAATCATATTCTTTACGTATTCATCGTTTTCATCAGTAGTTAACGTGCTTGGGTGACCAGAATGAGCATCGTCATTATCTTGGACTTCCTTACGGTCAGTCAGTCAATCAATTTACTATTTTATTGATATCGATTCATCGGGTTTATGTTAAAATAGCATTGTTTCATATTTATTTATGGAACTATATGGAACATTTTCTGAAGGTATGTTCTTTTTAGGCACTTCAAAACAATTAAAATGACCTTTATAATGACCATGTAAATACAGAAATCCAATGTGAATCCAATTTGATTGAAAAACGCACACAAAGTTGAATCTTTAGGGTGTAAATACTATCGATAACTTTGTACAAAATGTTATGATATTTAGATGTTGTATGCATTCTAAGTTATTTGTTTTAAAAATACACATTTGTTCTGATCATTACAAAAATACATACTTCAATAGTACTGAATTCGTTATTACTTATATATGTGTATATCATAATATCCGATTCACAGTAAATCCCATCAAATATTAATTTTCATATATAGATCCATTCCCGAATTCATATACTGTATATCCATACATTAAAAATAATATAAATTAGTATCAACTTCTGTATGTCCACTCATCTGTACAAAATTCCCCTCATTTCCCCACTCAAACAAAAAAATATATATATACTAAATGCAAAATACGCTTATCTGATATAAATACGTTTTTTCATTATTGAATTTTTTTACCCATTATGTTGTTGTTATTATTATTACCATTAGTATCATAATCAAGGTGAGATGTATGAAAAATCGCTGAAATATATCAACATGGGATTTACGGGAATGTTCAGTGTTGAAACAGTACTGAAAATCATCGGATTCGGTGTGAAGGTACGTAAGATATGCAAGTGAAAAGGGAATAATTAAATTTATTTCTAATATATAATAAAAAACGATGTACAAATTGTACTTATAGGCTTATTATGAAAATTGCCTTCTTTTATAAAGCTGTACAAACAAATTTGAACAAATGCTGAAATTTACAATGTTTTCACTTCAAGGTTAATTTATATAAATATTACAATATTATATTTTATTTTTTTTTTTTTAATTTAATATCTTAATACCACTATTAACAATATTTTACATATTTACTGCTACTGCTAATTTGATTGCATTAATTAATTTTTGATTTTAAAGGTGAAGGTAAGTTTAACTAACTTGGTTGCGGGCCATTACAAATAATTTAAGAAATGAAAGGTTGCATGACTGAAATTTTTACTTTTATTTAAGTCTAATTTTGGTTTTATTTTGTAATATTAACATATGACACAAAATAGCATGTCAATTTCTTTCAAATTTAACGCAAATTCAAATACCAATATAAAAATAACTTTATAATAAGTACATCCGGAAAAGACACAAAACAACAGGTTTAAATTCAATTTTTTAATTTTCGTGTTATTGCCTTTAATGCTATCTAATTCTACGAACATGATATCAGATCTATTGAAGCTAAAATTCGGACAACAAAATGAAATCTTTATCTAATGCGAAATTTTGTTTATAAATAAATTAAATATTTTTAGGTAGTTTTATCTCATTCGAGTCCCCGAAAGTCGACTTACGATTTAGACTTCTCGAATAGCTAAATAGTGGTCTGACATTCTTTTTCAAGTAGATTTTCTACTTTTTGAGATCCACAATTATCCATTTAAATTCGCAAAAATACTTGAAATAGCATTTACCTTTGTATATGAATATCAACGATTCTGAAAGTTATGTGTGTATTTTATATATAGCCAAGCCTGGCGCAATATATTAAGATGACCAGTAAAAAATGTTTATCGACTGTTCTGTCAATAACTATCAAAGCCAACGATTTATTATTTAACGTCTATTCAAGACGTGATTTTTTGCAAAATTGACGCCTATCCAAGGCTTCAACGAATAGTTTTTCAATGAGCTTTATGTTTGCAATTTTAACGAATAAAACTTCTTTTCAAGTTAAGGAATTTTATAATGGATATTGTTTCATCGATTATCCAAGGTCCACAATTTTTAGAGGATAATTTGTCATCGGTTTTTTATATATTGTGCCACATCAATCATAGGTGTGGATTTAAAAAAAAAAAAATAAATTTTCAACGTCTATTCAGTGCGTGAATTTTTTATAAATAGTTTTTATTGGCTATCCTAGGGAAATTTCCAACGGAATTAGGATTCCATTAGGAACACTTTAATAAAGCCTATCTAAAATCGGTTCCTAGATTAACTTCTAGATTAATAATATGCCCACTAAGAAAACATAAGCTCAACTGCGTTAGATTTCAGTAGAGAAATCCTCAATTCAGCACATCTGAATTGTTTTCGCTCCGGTATCATGAATTCAGCTATGGATAAATCAGTTTTTCCTCATAAATCAAATCAGCTTAGCTGAATTAGGTTTCCGTTAGGAATTCTTCAATACAGATCAGCTGAATTATGTTACCGTTAGGAATTCTTCAATACAGATCAGCTGAATTATGTTACCGTTAGGAATTCTTTAATTCAGTTTAAATGAATTAGGTTTCCGTTAGGAATTATTCAGTTCAGAATATTTATATCATGAATTGTTGAAAATACATTTTCAATATCTGCCCGATTTTTGGATTTTAAGGGGTCTGAACAGAATAATACGGGGTATGCTAAATGAATTCATGTCCTAGTTGTATAGAATTTTACATTGATTTCTCTGTTATGAAATAATGTGCATTATCTCTAAATTAACAATTCTGATTTTCAACATTCTTCATATATAATGTGACAACGATAATATCGGGCTTTCTGCAATCGAAGCCATGTTAAAAAATGAACTTTTTCATCTATTAGTTTTAGTTCAAGTTTTAATATTATTACTGGCCATATAAGTCAATTTCCTTTTTACACATCCTTTAACGTTTTTGTTTTATCATTTCCAAATGCATTTATCCAAAATCCAAAAACAGACTTCAATTTAATTTTACTATCTTGTATTTTACTATTATATTATTTGTAATTGATTATTTTTCTCCAAATTGAATATTTTATTTTATTCTTTTAGTATCACGATGCACCACCGAAACACAATGAAATATTGATCATTCTAAATTTGATCTTAACATTTTTCTTTTCACTGGAAACTCTAATGAAATTAATAGCATTTGGTATAAAGGTAAGATGAACAAAGCAATAAAGGTGAAGCAAAAAAATGGATTTCAGCTAAAAGGGAAACATTGAAAATTTCAGCAAAGGCTTTATAAAAATCGTACAATAACAAAAGATAAAAATGTTTTTATAAAAAATAAATAAAATGTGTTCTTATAAAATGTATTAATCAATTTCATTCTTTTAGAATTTCTTTAAAGATCCCTGGAATATCTTCGATTTGATAACAGTCTTGGGCAGTATTGTGGATGCACTATGGATGGAATTTGGGGTAAATATTGTCAATATTAAATTTTTTATTATTATAAATATATATTGATTTATGCTGTGGCAAATATTCAAAAATATTTGAAACATTACATAATTTGTTAGGTATTTGTTTGATGAAAAAAAAAATACAATGGAAAATAATAATGAAATATATAAAAGAACACTAGAGAAGACTCAATTAAACGTTATTGCTTTATATATAAAAAAACATCAAGTTGCTTTAACAAGGTCTTTAGTACCGAAATCTTATTATGTCCAAATGATTATTTTTAATTTAATTATTCTGTAATGTCTTGCGTTTGTTAAGGGGTTACTTCATTGTAATAAATTTTACACCAAGTTTATGTTGTGAAATGATAATGATGATGAACAAAAAAATACTCAAAATATGACTGCATTATGTTAACTTTTATGGAGCTTTAGCTTATATATATTTTAAGGGTTTTTTGGAAATAGGTTTCTTTAAATTGCAAATAATATATAAACATCAATACATATATAAATAGCAACATTATTTTATAAATATATATAAAGTTTCTTTTATATACATATATAATATATATATATTTATATGGGAATACAAATGTTATTGTTTAATATTTAACGTTTTTTCTTAAATAACATAACTATAATAATAATATGCTCATTTATAATCATAAGCCATTTTGAATATAATTAATCTCATATATTTCTTTTTTAATTTTCCTTTTTTTCATAATTTATTATAAATGTGTACGATTGAAAACAATTTGACCATAACGACAACAAAAACAAAAATTAAATGAAATGGGGTCTGACCAAAACAAACAAAAAATTATTTGCAAATATTAAAATAATTGAAACACCCAACAACAACCAACACCTACCAACGTTACCCTGCAATGACACTTATGAACGAACCCTCTACCTACACACGCCACAATCTTCAACACTGTTGCTACACTCAATACCACCACCAACACCACCAATACTTTTTTTCAATCTCATCATGAAAATTCGACTCAAAATTTGCCAAATTGACTTTTGTCTTCAAAATTTTTATTCCATTCTCCGCTGACAAATATTCCCCTCATCATCCGAAAATCATCAAAATTTTCAACGTCATTTTTATCAACAACAACAACAATAAAAAACGAAAATTTCTATAACTCTCTTCAACAACATGAATATCTATCAATCATCAACAACAAAATATACAACAAATATTAAAAAAAAACACCAACAAAAAATAATCTCATCTCCACCACCACCACGAACTCTCTATAAAACTACAACAACAACAGCACGATGTAAGTACAGATATAAATATTAAAAAAAAACACTAACGTTTAAGTAAAACAGACTAATCTTAAAAAACAACGACAACAAAACATCATATCAAAAAAAGAAACACTTTTTTCTCGTTGATTTCCTCATTGCCTTTATTTCGATCCACAACTATCCCCCGTAACCTTACCCATTACCCTTTCCCTTTGAACTACTCATACATCTAACATCTACCTAGTTAGAAGAAGAATCGATCGATGTCGTTCCATAAATGTCATTATTATTTATCAGTTTAGTTGGTTTTGCTATACTAACCCCATCATTTTCGTTTATTGCATTGATATGGCAACTCTAAATTTTTAATAAGCATTATTTGGGACTCAAAATTATTATCCTTTCCCATTGAATGTTTTTTCTTCACCAATTGATAGTATAAAAAAAATATTAAGTAATTCAATGTTTAGTTTGATGTTTTTCGATTATACCCCCATATTTTGTCATATGTTTAAGTTTATTTCTGGAATTTGTGAGAATTTAAAAAAAAAACTTTTAAAATTTTTGAATAGTGGATTTATGAACAAACATATTTCTTTCGACATATTTTTTAATCCACATTTTTTTCAATAATATATTTTATGCGAAATTATATAACTTCTATTACCATGCATTTATTTTTCTTAATCGGGCCTTATCAGTTGGGTCATGAATAGTATAATTTCCCAAGTATTGAATTCGAATGTCTGCAAAAGCGGCCCAATGGAATAGGAAATGTTACAATGTTTCGTTTTTTTTCAGCATGTGTTAAAGTGCGTGCAAGTCCTAGGAGAATACCTGTCCGTTTGCAGATTTATTTTTGGTAAAACCTTAAGATTAGCTTGGTGTTATCTTCATTTAGATCTGCCCATACAATTTATGTGTTATTTCCAGTCCTCTTGTTGTTCAAAAGTATTTAGTAGGACTCTCTCGTCCAGGAACTAATTTCTAGACTTGTTCCGCTGGAAGGTTTGACGTTGTTCCCATCATAGTGTGAAGGTCATCTTTGAATTAAATTAAGGCATTTGCGCAACGATTTCAGCATCGATAGTATCAAAATAGCGAAAGATAACAATATACAATATATAAAATTCCGTATATTTTGTACTGCTCCTCAGCATAAAATGTCAGTTCTTTTCTATTCCATAGCATTGAACCACCACAATTATAACAGCTTGTGAGAGATAGTTGTACTAGCGTTCCATCAATCCAGGAGCCATTTTGCGAAATTTTTAAAGACACTTTTTTAACCTCCTGAAATATTTAAATATTCAATGTTGAAGGAAAATGTGTCAGAATTGATTTAATCACACGTTTGTGGGATCTATAGTAAATCTATAGCCGTTCCATGAAAGTTTTCTATATAGATGTTCTTACAGATATTTAACTTAATGTGAAATATTATTCCACATATTCAGAAAAAATGGTACATGAAAATATCCCATTTGAAGCATAATACTAGAAATTATGAGGAAAATGTTACGTTCCATAGATTTTGAAATTACGTTTACACAGCATTGACTGTGAACAAATAAAAAAATAAAATAAAATGGTTTCGTATTAGGATAGTGTCTTGAATAAGTAGATTTTTTGAAATATTTTTCCCCAAAGCGGTCCATAGGTTCAAACATATACACAGTTAGAAAACTGGGGTTATGGCATCTGAATGTGAAATTTGTACGAAGCCTTCTGACTTTCTAATAAACTGGTCTCGTCATCAGCATCACCACATGAGGAAAACACAACATAGGAATAGCGGGGTATAGCGCCACCTATAGGAAAATAGTAACACAACAATTACAGGCTCCACCAATGGGAAATTAGGTGGATGTTGTTTCTAGTCAAAAGTTGATGGCAGTCCTATTAACAAGGACAGACTGCATCAGACCAATCATCTTCTTTTTTAGAATAAATGCCGGTGATAACAACACCTAGAGGAAAATATCAAACCTAACATCATAGACCAATAAAACTGACAAAATTCAGATGGGCTTTGTTTCTAGGAGACAATATATGGCAGTTCCACAATCTAGGTCATGTTACAACAGACCAATCCTGACATTCTAATTATCAACCTGACATCAACAATAGAACATGAATATAGCACAAAATAGGAATATCATAGGATAGCACCAACAAGAGACTTAAACCACTGTAGAAATTAAAGTGGGCGTTTTTCTATGAGAATATAGATGGCAGTCCGACCATATATGACATGACAGAACATGTATATTGAAAAATTTCCCCAGAGATGTTTTCACCCTCTAAGAACCAGAAATACCGGACTAACCTGTAAATACACTTTTTTTTATCAATTTATTTCATTTTCTATGTAATTAAGTTGTTAACTTCCTAAATCAATAATTTAATGGCTGATATTATATCTATCATCGTCAAAATTCAATCATAAAAATGTCAAGTTTTATTGTGATTTTAACAGAGGCATATAAACATTTTTTACCGAAAAATTACTTATAAATGCGAATTTATTAAAACAGGACTGTTTGAACATAATTGTATTTTGCTCTATTATAAAAAAATATATAAGTTTTGGTTATGTAATTAATAATTAATTAAAACATACAGTCGAAAATTTTTATTGCAAAACCAATTTGGAACCAAAAAATTTTAAAACTCTCTCTTATAAATATCAACTAGTAAATTGAAAATATATAAACATTTTCGACTGTTTCATATTCTCACAAATTCTATTGTAGTTTATTATTTCAATACATACATATTGTTTTAGTTTTTCATTTTTGTATACATACACAAAAATATCCTTACAACTGTACTTCCCACCTCAAAACAGTAAAAAAAACATATTCATCATCATTATAGAAAAACTAAAACTGCAAAAACACATTACATTAAAAAGGTCATATACTGCAAAAGAAAATCAACAGTAACCCAAAAACAAAAGAACAAAATTCAATACGAAAACTCTAAAATTTAACACAATTACTATTATAACGCTTTTCGAATGTCTAAATGTTGAGTTTCTTTATGTCCAATCAATCAACTAAAAAAAAAAACTAAAACTAAATTTAATTTTTGGAATGCTATTTCATTTTCAGTAAACAAATCAAATCAATTATTAACCAAAAAATTATCTTTTTTACTTAACCAGTAGCTAATAAAGAAAAAACATGAAACGAGAAAAAATGTAAACCCATCTAAATGATATTTAAACTATTTATTGGTTATCTATTATAAGTTTAAAAGTAAAAATTAATTTTTAATGTTTTAATTTTTTCTTAATTTTATTGAAGATATATTATTTTGATTTAAAATATTTTTTTTGTTTCTATATAACACTACTGTTTATCACTACTGAACTGAACTGTTTTTTAACACTGTTTCTTGTATTTTTTCTATTTTTTGGTTTATTTGTGTTTTGAACAAATCTCTTTCAACAAAACAAAACACCAATTTTTTCCAATGAAACAAAATAAATAAAACACCTATGAAACACCACAAAACCACCACCACCAACCACGAAACACCTTTACCTACCCACCGATAATTTGACATTGCCTACAATATTTTTTGAAATGAAAAACAAAAATCAATATAAATATTTCTCAACTGCAACTATTACGACATTGAATATTAAAAAAAAATACATCATTGTTGCCTTTTTTGAAAAAAATAATAACCTGAAATGTCGTTCATTTTGATGTCATAAAACAAAAAACAAAA